AATCGATGCTCTTGGCACTTTCACAGTCATTCTCTGACATACACAGACAGACCTGCAGAAAATTTGTGTCTCTGACGTGCTGTTCTTGCATAAGGTCAAATAAGGCAATGGCTCTGCTCTCTTGTTTTAGATCTCATATAGTGAACAAGTGTCCTTTTTGTAATCTATTTAGTGGCACATTTTTTACATTTTTGTGCATTTTTTGTTGATGATTTCACTGTTCTAAATGGCCCCACGCTTACTGCTGAAGTGCTGTCTAATGTCCTAAGTGTAAGAAGGCTGTGATGGTTCTTTAGAGAGAAAATACCTGTGTCAGATGAGCTCTGATCAGGTTTGCTGAGTTCAGTGATAATGGATCTACAATGTATATTAAACAAGATATCTTTAAACAGAAATATGCATAAAACAAGATTATGTATTAATGAGTTGGCAAAAATGTGGCCAGAACCTTGCAGGAACCTAACTCCATGTATCTCCTGGGAATAATGGTTCAGTATTGGCTAATTCACTGTAGTGACTTTATAGAACATAACTACCAGAAATTACAAGGATTAACCATATTTCTTTTATTTGTACATTAAACAGACTAACTATGCTCTTATAAGAGTACAATTTCCTAGAAGTATCTATATTCCTCAACTTATTTTGAGTGAACAGATTATCAGCAGTGATTTCATCACAAAAATCCGTACTTAACAATGAAGTATTTATTTCAAATACAAAAAAAATTCTTTTGTGTTTAATTCTTTTTTTCAGTTTGAAACTCTGTATATTCAATGATTCCACTATGCAGCTTGATATTTATTGGACTGAATTCCTGGCACAAATGACAGAGTACTGTATGTTTTATGATGCTATGTTTTAATGTTGAAAATCTTTATACTAAGATTTTTATTAAAACTTTAATAGAAATCTGAAGATTTTATACTTTGAAGTCAGATTTTTATTGATTCAGTTCAAAAACCTATTTTCAAGAATTTTGAAATCATGTAAGACCCCAGCATGAAACTCTATCATATTTTATATCTTTTAGAGACAGATGTTGACTCATTACTAATAATAACACAAGGATCTGTTTCATGCCATTCTTTTTTTTAAGATTTTATTTATTTATTTGACAGAGAGAGATCACAAGTAGGCAGAGGCAGGCAGAGAGAGAGAGGAGGAAGCAGGCTCCCCGCTGAGCAGAAAGCCAGATACGGGGCTCGATCCCAGGGTCCTGGGATCATGACCTGAGCCGAAGTCAGAGGCTTTAACCTACTGAGCCACCCAGGCGCCCCTGTTTCATGCCATTCTTATTGGCACTATCATAAGACATGCTGCAATTTTAAAATTTTGTGGAACATAATACAGGCTTTTTGGTTTTTCAGGTTTGGGTTTATCTGGTTGATTGGTTGGTTTGGTCATCAGTATGAAAGAATGGGATTTACGAGCAAAAGAATAACCATGGCTGATCAAGTATCAATATGAACAAATGAGTTTATTCAGCAGGCATAACATCTGGACAACTGAAGTATCATTAAATTTTACCAAAGTTCTTCTCATTTTCATTTTATGAAAATATGATCTTGTCACAACAAACAAATAGCCAATATTGTCATAGCTGTGAGATGAACTTTATATGCATTATCTCATTCAATTCAACAACCTTTTGAACTGTAGGTATTATTATTATGTAATATGCAAATGATCCATTACATATGAAGAAACTAAATCTTAGAATAGTTGAATTCCCCAAGATCCTGTTAGTAATAACCAGTGGAGTCAGGATTTAAACTCAAGTCTGTTTGATTTCAGAGTCCACAACATTGTTCTCCCTCCATGACTTACTATACAGCTTCTGCAGTGGATGGCATGTCATTTTAAGAATTTTATCACTTTTCTGACAGTTCCACCCACATTCCACATCCCTGTTACCCTAAGGAGAATGGGGATGGAACTCTGTAAACACCCTTTCCTTTCCCCTGAGCACAATTTTTTGATATTAATCTTCCTCAAGTGGTTTACCATACTTTGTTTTTGCCCAGTATGAAGAACTGCTTTAAAGGGAAAAGGATATTCCAAAAAGGCAATTTGTGGTGTTATTCATCAGTAGGAAAATAGAAAATGCAGTTTCCTTTGTCTAAATTATATGTATATGAACCTCAAACTTCCACCCTCCCCATCAAGGTTTTGTTGGGTGTTTTCTTCCCCCCTCCAAGAGCCAGCTGCTAGCTTTACCTCTTTCTACCTGCCGGATGCTTTCTGAATCACATTATCCAGTGCTCAACTTAAGTGATCCCCATTAAAGTCCAGAGCCTAGGGAAATCACCCTGATTCTGTGTTCCCTAGCAACATCCCTGAGAATAACAACAGCTGCTTAACAGCTGCTTAACCAGAAAGATGCTGCAGGGGAAATACACAGAAATTGATATTAAATGCTTTAAATCTTGAGACTTCAAACATTATAGTTACCATGTTGTATTATTTACCTTTAGTGATACAAAAACAATAGAGAAAACTAAATGTGATCATCAGAAAAAAAGGACAAGATATGCTGAATGACCTTAGCAAGCAAGGTGATTCTAGACATTTTCTTGCTATGATAAACAGGGAAATAACCATGATAGAAATAACATACCTTTCTTTATGATTTTGAATATTAAAATGTTACATTTGTGTCAATTAAATTATACTTATGTTGTAATATGACATGGCATTGTTTAAACACTTAGCAAACTTAAAATTCCCTACAAATTTTTGTTGATACTCTTTATTTTTTCTGTTAATCTCTGTAATTTGCCTTTTCCATCCAGAATGTCAAATAATTGGACTCATACATTATGTAGCCTTTCCAGATCATTTTCTTTCTCTTAGTAATACCCATTTGTTTCCTCCATGTCTTTTCATGGCTTCCTAGCTCATTTCTTTTAGTTCTAAATATTTCATTGTATGGATGTATCAAGGTTTATCAATTGACCTATTGAAAGAAATCTTGGTTGCTTACAAGTTTTGTAGTTAGATTAAAGATGTTACAGACATTTGTGTACAAATTTTTATGCGGACAAAAGTTTTCAACTTATTCGGGTAAATACTAAGGATCACAAATGCCGGATCATATGGTAAAGAAACTGCCAAACTGTTTTCCAAAATGAGTGTACCATTTTGCATTCCCACACCTTTGCCTGTATTTGGTATTGTCAGTGTTTTGGATTTCAAGCATTCTAATATATGTAGAGCATTGATTATCTCATTGTTTTGATTTGAGATTGTAGAGTAATACATGATGTGGAGTGTGTTTTCATAAGCTTATTTACTACCTATATATCTTTTTTGGTGAGACATCTGTTGATCTTTTGCAAATTTTTAAGTAGGTTGTTCTCTTATTGTTGAATTTTAAGAGTTCTTTGTATATTTTAGATACTAGTCCTTTGTCAGATAAGTGTTTTGCAGATATTTTCTCTGGCTCTGTGTCTTGTCTCTTCAGTCTTAAAATTAAAATGCAAATTTGATTATTATAGCCTAATCACTAATTTAAGAACTGCTACCATTATTGTGGTATGTATTTTAGGGATAAAAGATTATTTTTTATGGTTTCTTGGTAAAAATAAATTTCCCCACATTTAAAAACTACTAATATGTTCCTTTTCTTTGAACCCCCCATCCCTTTATACCTTAAATTCTTGGGATTCCAAGCAGTTCACTGTGAAGAAGAGTGAAAAATTATCCTGGACTGTTTTCCTGTTCTGATCAATAAGTAACCCATTACAGTAGTCATTATCTGAATAATAGCCAATAACTCAGTGAACATACATGTGGAGCATGTCTTTTTAAATACTGAAAAAGTAATATCTTTGACAATCTCTGAAATTCCTAATTTTTAAAATTTCTAGTCACCCCTGGGTGTTTTTTATTTTCTTTCTTTTTTTGTTAGTTCTCATTATAAACATCTAATTAAAACTGTTTTATGGATAGGCCATGCTATAAAATTTATTTTATGATTTTCTGTGCAAATCAGTCCCCCTCCCAATTTTTAAATTACACACACACATATTAGTAGCCAACTCAGATTTATAAAACAAGAATATTTTGTTTGGAAAAGGGATCATGGAAGTACCTATATTAGTTAAAATCTCTTCCTGATTTTATGTTTCTCTATTAATTTATTTACCTAGGAAAAATTACTTATTTTAAAGCCAAGATCAAATAGAAAGTCTAGGCCAGTAGTTTCCTAACATTTGTAAACTAGCTAGTCCAGTATTTCTTAACAGATAAATGTAGAGCCGCTCTGGTTGGAGGTCAAATGAAGTTAGAGGAGGCTGGAGTACACTCTCTTCTACCTTTTCCCAGGTACCTCTAAGGAATCTACAGGGCTATATGGAGAAGAACTGGAAAATTAGACTAAATTATGATTTTTATTTAAAGTAACAAGAAAACCAAATAGTCATTACTAAGCTATTTATCATGGAGTTCTAGGTGTCTAATTTATAAGGTTTCTGAATTAGACTTCAGGGCCTATGTTACATTTTATTACAGTCTACAATTTAAGTGTAGACTGGCAAGAATTAAAGGAAAAGCCTGTTTCACAGCTGTTATGCATCTGGGAGTTTGTTTAAAAGGGTCTAGCTTAGCTTAGCCTGAGTTGTGATAAAAAGCAGGATCTAGAGGCCTTTTAACTAAAGTCCTGTGCTCTGATCAGAGCTGTATTTAATACGGGCCCATAAGTCCACATAATTATAATTTGTAAGAGTCTTTAGGACATCAGTAACTTTTAAATCTTACCATGTGAAAAATGATTATGTCACCTGTGGACTTTAAAAGTAGTTAGCAAACTGGGATAAAAGTGATGATCAAATCAAATATTTCTGCAACTTTCTCTGTCCAAGTTTCATACTTACGATGTTCCAGCTATATTTTGTAACATACCGCTCCTTTTAATGTGCCTTAATGAGGAATGTTAATTCTGGTAAATTAATGCTTCGTGTCACAGTTAACCGTACTACATTCTGGCTTTCTCCCAGGCTTGCAGATGGGTCAGGGGCTGTGGAGAGTGGCCAGAAACCAGCAGCTACAGCAAGAAGGTTATAGTGAGCAAGGCTACCTCAGCAGAGAGCAGAGCAGGAGGATGGCTGCCAACAACATTTCTAACACCAGTCATCGTAAACAAGTCCAAGGAGGCATTGATATATATCATCTTTTGAAGGCACGGAAATCTAAAGAACAGGAAGGATTCATTAATTTGGAAATGTTGCCCCCTGAGTTAAGCTTTACCATCTTGTCCTATCTGAACGCAACTGACCTCTGCTTAGCTTCATGTGTTTGGCAGGACCTTGCGAACGATGAACTTCTCTGGCAAGGGTAAGTTCAGCCTAACATGTTTGATTCAGTTATCTCTAAACACAATCATGCTTAAATGTTTTTATTATTATTACACACACACACACACACACACACACACACACACACACACACGTATTGTGATCTATTTCTTTTTAACCTCAGTTTGTACTTTCTCTTTATTAAAACCCAGAAAGATAATGAGGCATCATCACAGTCAAATTTGATATTGGGAAAAGAAAGACAGTATAAAGGTAAATGACTCTACAGTTAGAAGTTACAAGTGAAGAGATGTCAGTTTATTCTAAAAATACAAGTTGTTGGGGTGCCTGCCTGCCTCAGTTGGTAAAGCATGCGTCTAACTCTTGATCTCAGGGCTGTAAGTTCTAGCCGCACATTGGATGTAGAGATTACTTAAAAAAATAATAAAATATCTAAAAAAGAATACAAGTTAAGTGAGAATTTGTAATCCAAAATTTAGTGTTCACACCCCTGGTATAGTTTGTGCTTCCCATATGAAGATTGTGTGTTTACTAATTTATATACTTCTTTCTATCACAGAGGTGCTTGTTAATATAAACTGTGATAACTGTTTCATCTAGTTTTTATTTTTTCTAACCAACATTTCATCAATGAGGTAGGAAAATAGTAGAATGCAAGGAGATACTCTGCTTGCTGAAGTGAAAGTGGACTGTAGAAATTATAGCGATTATATCAGTTTAAATTTAACCTATAAATTTAAGAATGTTTGAAATAGAATCTATTTTATGTATAACTTCAGTTTTCAGTTACTCCTTAAATAGCATCATATACTTGAGTCATAAATATGTTACCAAACTTAGAAGACTCTTTGGGATCTTCAACTTCTGGTGTCTAAGGTTTATTGATATCATTATTTCTAGTTATTTAAAACATGTCTAAAAACAAAGGTCTTTTTGTGACTTTAAATAATTTCTAAATGAAAATCTAATTGAGAGAATTAGTAAATTATCCAAATAACCAAACTTTAGTAAAAATGTATTACCAATAATGACATTTCTAACTCTGGGCTTTCTGATGTTACAGAATTACAGTATTAATTATATAGTTAATTTCTCAACCTCTAAATAGATAAAAATCATAAGTGTCATCCTGTTACTCTCATTGTCTTGTTATAGTGAAGGTACTGTGAAAGTACTACTATTAGTAGTGTTTATGGTTATTAATTTCTTACTCAGTAAAAGAAGAAATAAAAATACTTTAAAACTGGCTCATTAATTATTACAAATTTCTGCCTTTTAGTATTTCCAGTAAACTTAATTCGTAATCCTATATTTGAACTCTGAAGAAAAAGTTTATTTCTAAGCTTATCTGAACCCAATCAGAATGTCCTCTTTACCTGAGATTTAATTCTGGATGTTCATTTCTGAAAGAAATGCTTCCTTTATTTTTACCACATAATTATGCCTATTTTTATGACACTTGTTTTTTTTTTCTTAGTGGTAAAGTGCTTCTATTTTAAATTGAACTCCAGCTTAGTTTTTATTTTAACTTTAGATGTGTGAAACATTTATTAATGTTGAGAGGTTCTATTTTCACATCACTCAGTAATAAAAGTCAAAAGCTATAGGACTAAAGCTTCTGCTAAAATGTTGACAATTTTCTAAACAAGCTCCTAAACTCACTAAAACTCACTAAACTCAAATGAAATCAGGGATTTCATTTGGTTGGTTAAAAATAATGCAAGGATATAAATAACTATTAAGATATTCTCATTAAATTACATATTTTACCCACTATGCTCACAATTTTTGATGTTATAGTCTGAGACAGTAACTTTTTCTTGCAGCCCTACACATCGTATGTGTGTGACATGAAATTTGAGTCAAAAATCAATAATGATTATCAGAAAATGATAACTATTTTTAATATCTATCACTATAAGTAGGTGTTTTGAACACACAAAAATCAGAAAATTTTGAGATAGTGTCATTAAAAGTGTACTAAAATATAATTGCAGTATTCTCTATATCTCTAGAGTAATGTACTTTTAAGATTTAATGATCTATAGTCTAATGATCCAGAATTTCTAGGCATTGTAATAAGATAAAATGAGATAAAACTTAAGCATTCAAATAATAACCAGTAGCTAATGCCTTTGTATAGAGTTGGACACAGCTATCCCAAACTGCAAAAATAGTATGTTTTGCTATAAACTATTAGCATTTTAGGTTTCCTAGAATTTTTAAACAATCATGTATCACTGTGATGTTAAAACAAACAAACAAACAAACAAAAACGTGTTCTGAAGCAGCATCTTAAAAGCAGGTACGCTTAATGTCATACCCAGCTTTTGATGAATGTACTAAAGTTAATAGCATTGTAATTTCTATGTTTATTTTGCCTGTTATCAATATATATATTGTTAAAAAACAACAACAACAGCAAAGTTCTCCCCCCAACCTAACAATCTTTACCCTTATTCAACTTTACTTTGCAATAGATCATAGTAACTTAATCCTATTTAGCTTCTTGGTTAAGATTTCTAGCTCTGGAGTAAGACTTCTTGGGTTCAGGTCAACTTTTTTATCTTTTATTGTGACTGTGTTTCTTTATCTTTAGCACCAACATCATAACATTGTTTTAAAGATTAAGCAAGTTAATACTCGTATAATGTTTTAAATAGTGCCTGACATCTAGTAAGCACTGGGTAAATGTTTTAAATAAGTAGCTATTATTGCTATTATTAGTAGTAGTTTCTATTTAATTTCAAATAGTACTCATGAATATTATTAATCTTTAACTCATGTTTATTAAGTACTATCAGAATTCCTAAATTGAAGGCATTTGTCAATCATACTCTAGTAAACAAATAAAAAACAAGTACAGAATTAAACATTCTCAACTTTCAACCTATAAATTTCATGTTACTATTTTATCATGTGTATACATGTTTAACTTAGGAAATTAAATATAGTAATGTTTTCTTGTCTGATTTTATCTTTTACAGGTTGTGTAAATCCACTTGGGGTCACTGTTCCATATATAATAAGAACCCACCTCTAGGATTTTCTTTCAGAAAATTGTATATGCAGCTGGATGAAGGAAGCCTTACCTTTAATGCTAACCCAGAGGAGGTAAGTGAAGAACTTGAGTATTTGGAAGAGTTGAACTTTATTATGATCTTACTGCAGCTTTCCAATATAATAAACTTGCAAGTAAAGTAACAGGTCATTGAATATTCCTGTTCAATGAGGAAATGACTGAGAAGCCCACTAAGTAAAGTTAATGCTATGTAACATAGTCATTTCTCTTTACCTTACCAACTCACATTTTAAATCTTTCTACCTGCTCATGTTGTGTGGCAGCTTCCATGACATATATGCAGTCCTCTGCTGGACCTGATTACAATATGACTGCATTATATGTGGAGAGCACAGAATATGTTCATCAGATTTTATCTGCAGCATTTTCTTCCTGTTTTATTTTTCTATTTAGTAGTGAGGCTATTTTTATCAGGGACAATCACAAAGGACATTGTTCATTGGTGACACATCAAAATGTTGTCTTCTTAATGCCTTTAACAGTCCCTGTTGCCATAGAAACTGCTTATAGATTGCCATAAAATCGAATAATTTTATCAAAATATCAAAATATGAAGACCATGCTTTCACTGATTTTTTCCCCTCCATTCTTGCTTTAATATATATCCTGGAAAGTACAGATTCTCAGAAATGCTGGTTTTTTTTTTCCTCAGAAATGTTTAAATGTCTACTAGGCTTATTTTTAGAAATCTAACAAATTATACAGCCCTCAGAACTACTACTTATAGTTGAATTCTTTTCTGTGGGAAAATTTAACTGGCAGTTATTTTGATTTAATTTTCAAAAACCAACTTTTTTTCATTTGTTGTAGAGGTATTAAAGGACTATTTAAATTATGCAAATATATCAAATATATGCATGCTTATACAAATGTATGCATACATATGCAAAATGTATCAAATTTTTAAAACTATCTTAACTTTAGCTATATTATAATTAAAAACCTGTTTCCCCCATATAAAATATTTGAATATCATACAAATACTGATTTTATAAATATGCATATAATACAAATGACATTTTAAAAATTGATTTTTACTTATTACATATGATTTAACTTCTTATATACAAATAAAAAATATAACACCATTGCAAAGCTTTACTGAAACACTATCCATTATCAGTTAAGTCTTAGCACCACAAATATAAAAATCTATATATTATAGAGCCTAATATACATATTTAAATTAAGAAATCTGTTCTCTCACTACTGCTTAAGAGTTTTGACATTCAGATTGAATAGAGGACTGATAGTTAATTTAGAAGGCAAATGAATAAACTGTTATAAATTTAGGTTTTATAACTTATCCCTTGATTATAAATTTTTTTCTGCTGCATTGCATCATAAAAGACACTTGTTTTTACTTTATTTTTTGTCAGATCCAAGTTCTGTTCCTTCTAAATATGTAGCAACAGTGAGCATGTCACTTTTTGATCTTGCACTATGGCATAGCTACTCTGTACAAGATATTCTTCTACTTAACGTATTTGAAGAATGACATGGTTTCAAAGACTTCGTTATTCTGTTTGCTGGCATTTGACATTACTTGCAGCTAGTTAAAACAGTTCATATGACGAACTTTATAATAAGATACATATATTGTATCACTCTCTTAAGTTAGTGAAATGATGATTACTGGAGAATCTTGGCTGACTAGTGCAGTATTTTACTTTAGATATGTAAGGAAAGGCAGCTGTTGCAAGCTCCAGTCTTATTATGCCCAATTTATTAAGGCATTCTGGTTCCTGTCATGAATTATACTGATAATGAGTTGAACTGTCATCTTTAATTCATATCACTTGCAATGTTACATTCTAAGGAAAGTAATAACTTGGTACATTCTAAGGAAAGTATAACTTGGTAAGTACTGGTATATTTACAAAGTCAGAAAAGTTGGATGTAACTGCTGGTATTAATTATGGTAAGTAGTCATTCCTTGCTAAAGCAGTACCAATTTTTAAAACAAATTATAAAGCCATCATTTTTATGCAAAGATGAAACCATAGATAGGCCCTCACTTACTAGAATATGGTATGGATAGTTTTAAATCTCTAAGTTGGAAAAGCTAGATGTCAAAATATGTTTCCATCTTTGCAGCTACACATATCAGATTATAGAATTCTTGTTATACCTCCTCTACTGTGTTTGGAGGAGTGGACAGAGAAGAAAGGTAACATTAAAAGACCTCTTTTTATCTAACAAAACTTTTTAAAGTTTTTTTAAGTCAAATGTTTGCTAAGAGAGGGGATTGAAGTTATTAATTAAAATAAGATTTTTAGGGGCACCTGGGTGGCTCAGTGGGTTAAAGCCTCTGCCTTCGGTTCAGGTCATGGTCTCAGGGTTCTGGGATCGAGCCCCGCATCGGGTTCTCTCTGCTCAACAGGGAGCCTGCTTCCCCCTCTCTCTCTGCCTGCCTCTCTGCCTACTTGTGATCTCTCTCTGTCAAATAAATAAATAAAATCTTTAAAAAAAATAAAAAATAAAATAAATAAAATAAAATAAGATTTTTAGATCTTCAGATTTTACTTAACCATCCTACCTTCCATTGTTATTGAGAGTTGGCTGTATTTTCTTTTTCTTCACTCCCTTGCTTGACTTAAAGATATTCTGGAGCATTCCAGAAAGTTGAATTCAGTCTCTGAAAGGGGCTCTCAAGAGGCATAGAGCTGAACCTTCCAGAGTGACTTGTGGTTCCAGAATTCTGATTCTATCCTTTTATGAACATCAGTAGCTTAGCAGGTGTTACCTGATAAAATAGAACCCTATCTTTAGCAGAATGCACCTAGGTTATAAATAGGCAAAGAAGGACATAGAGATAAATACACTTGTAGATGCAGAGAAATGAGGGAAAGTACTTTAACGACTATATTCTATATTTTGTTGACAAACATAAATAGTATCACTTGGTTGTTTATCCAAGTCAAGCCTTCAGAATTAAAATCATGTAATTAAAAGAGTTATCCTAATAGATGTTTTTATATAGAACTTAATCTGTATGAGTCATACTTTAGCCAGGTCTTAGAATGACTCTTGCCAAGTTTTTTGAGTGCTAGAAATCAGGAAGTACTTTTTATTTGGAGGTTAATATTTTTCCCCTCTAATTGGAGCAGCAGTTTTGGGTTCATTTAAGCCTGAGAAGTAAATTAGTTTTGATGATATGTGTAAATATAAGTGTTTATTGTAAGTACCTGAGGTAAGATGTATATAATTGTTCAGTATTATAAAAAGTCTACTTTTCCATAATTTCTAGTTCTGTACTTATCATTTTGATAGCAAGCATCATTAAAGTATTATAAAAATAAGAATACTTACAGCCACAGGGAACAAGATTCTCCAAAGGACATCGTTCATGTCACGGATATGGGTAACCAAACTCCACAGCAACTGCTGGCAGTGGCTCATGGGGTGGGGGAGAACATCCGCCCAGTTTGTGGTACGATTATCTAGCACGTTGTTGTTATCTGCATGACCTGTGATCTCAGCTGTATGTAAAGTCTTGATCTTGTGCATGAGCTTGTGTACTTTGTGGCAGGTGACCACATTCTAGTAGAGGAATGTGCTAAAAACCATCTGTTTACATTAGGCTGTATTTCCCCTGCATGTACAAGTTACGTGTGTTGATTTTATTTTGCTAGCAGTATTATAATAAAATAATTTATCCTCTCAACCAATTAGCTATATTCCTTGAGCTCCATTTGGTATGAAACATCTTTCTTGACCTAGTTATTTTTAAATTTCGAGTCCGAAAAATTGGGGAGCAAACATGGTTTAATTTCAGTACATTATAGGTTTTACTTTTGTTTGTGTAAATATGTTTAAATTTTTTTTAAAATAATATTCTCAGGAGACCTGGGTGGCTAAGTCAGTTGAGCATTGGACTCTTGGTTTTAGCTCAGGTCACAATCTCAGGCTCTGTGGGATCGAGCCCCTCAGTGGGAGTCTGCTGGAGAGTCTTCCTCTGCCCCACCACCAAACATGCTCATGTACTCTCTCTCTCTCTCTCTCTCAAATAAATAAATAAATCTTAAAAAAAATAATAATATTCCCATTGGGATCAGTTAAAAACAGTCTTAACTATTATATAAGCACAGTTTTCTTGCCTTCATAGAGGAAGACCCACATGCATGCATATAATTTTCTGCATAATTATTAGATTGATCTGGGTTAGAATCTGTTACGAGAAATATCTTAAATTGAACCTGTGTATATATTTTAGGTTGAAATGCATATGCAATTTATTTTCATGATAATGTATTCTTTTTGTTGTTGGACCAGCTAAAATATAAATGGGAAATTTGTAGTTTTCCATCTTAAAAAGGAACTCAGGAGTTTATACTCAGATATTAAATCTTACTAACTTTTTGCTCCAGTATACAACAGCAAAATGTTTAATACCATTACTTCATAGCATAGCAACAGTAATGAAAAATAACTTTTATTTTTATTCCTAGACATAGAAAGCCCTGATTGGTATCATCAGACTGTACGGATAAGCATTTTCCAAATGTATTCTTTTGAATAATTATTCCACAGGTTAAAGAACATAGTCAAAGGAGTTCCCAAGTCTAATAAATTTGACCACGATAGGTTATGATTAGTTGGCTTATTTAATGAATAACTTTTCCAAGTCTTTAATACATTGGTGCACATTGTGAGTATGTGTTATATGTAGTAGTATCCAAATTTATTTGACATATTGTTAAATTTATTTGACAGTATCTTTTTCTTGTTTTTTCCCTTTGGTAAAGTAACATTCCAGGGGACACATTCTGTGATATGCTAGTATAGATTATCTGTATCTTACTATGTGTAAATAAATATATGTTCCTAAATGGATAGACACCTAGCTTGAATACCCTCTTGTTCACTGACAGTTATCTGATGCCTATTTTATGGGTAATCTTTTTTCTTTTGAAAGTCTCTGAATTTATATTTGTTCTCTCTCCTTTTGTCTGATAGTATTACAAAAAAAATTAAAACTTAGAGTTGTGCCTTGAAAGACTGAGAGATTTATCTAGGTTCTATATTTTGA